CCAGCAGTTGGCGTAATGGCTATGTCGCTGGACTCCCATGTAGTCGACCACGGTTCGAGTCCTGGACCCAGTAGCTTAAACTCATGCCGGGCGCATGTGCGTGCGTGCCCAAGATCCCAAGAGGAGAATGGAGGAGAAGGGATTGCCGTGTGGCTATCTCCTCTGGAGGGGGTGATTTCTTGCTTTCTATCTCTCTGTCTCTCTTTGTCTTTCTGGCGAGTGCACGCACCCTATAGTAAAAACCTTTCCAAAAAAAAAAAAAAAAAAAAAAGGCAACGGGGGGGGGCCAGCAGGGGGGGGGGTGGTGGTTAAGGCGCTGGACACTCCCACACGGCTGACTACAGTTTGAGTCCTGGACCTGGTGGCTTGCTTTCTCACTTTCCCTCTCTCTCTGGATGTGTCTCTCTCTGGTCAAATTAAAATAAATGAATGAATAAATAAAAGTAAACAAATAATTCTTTTTAAAAAAAAGACAGTGGGGAGTTACTATTTTTTGTGTGTTAGTTCTTTTTTTTCTTGTTTTTTTTTTCTTTCTTTTTTTTTTAGGTTTTTGCCATAGGATGTGTGTGCTAGCCAGAGAGACAGTGATAGGGAAGGTTAGAAATCACCCCCCAGAGGGGATTCCCTTCTCCTTCACTCTCTTCCTGGGATCTTGGGCACACAGACATACTTGCCTGGCATGATTTTCAAGCCACTGGCTCTGAGACAAACTGTGGTCATCCATGTGAGAGTCCAGATCCTTAACCGCTACGCCACCTGCTGGCCCCTGTTCATTTGTTTTTAAAATTTATTTTTCTCATGAGAGTGAGAGACGGAGGTGGGGGAGAGAAAGAGAAAAAGAGCACCTTCAAAAGGATCTCACATCTCAACCCCTTCCCCCACCCACCAAGACTTCCCGGCAGCTAAAGTCATGGGCACATACAACTGTCTCGCAGTGGTCAACCAGGGGATCAAACACATGACCTTCCATGTGGACCCCGGTTCTCCTAAGCAGTGCATCTCCACTGCACCACCAAGCCAGCCGGGGTTACCATTCAGTGAGTGTCAGTTTGGGATGCTGAACCATTTCTGCAGATGGAGAGTGGTAATCGCCATACAACGTTGTGGAAGTGTTTAATGCCCCTGAGTTGTATAACTGAAATGGTTAATTTGGGGTCATGTCTATTTTACCATAATAAAAAACATTTTGAAAAAAATAATTAGCTTTCGTGACACTGAAACCAGGGCTTTGCCCAAATAGCAGCCTGCCCTGACCTCGGTTTTCTGCACAACACCCTTACAGTAAGTGTGTAAAGTATACTCGCTTAATCCTAACTACGGCTCATTGGGCTTGTGCACATCTATACTGTGTTACCACCATCTGTCAAGATGGAGAACATTCCAGTATCTCAGAAGGTGCCTTCCCAATTGTCACTCTCCCAAAGGGACTCACTTTTCCCTGTTCTGATTTCTGTCACCATCATTTGGTTTTTGCAGTTCTCAAACTTTACATAAATGGATTCAGGCAAAATATAATCTTTTGTGTCTGGTGTCTTTCCCTTAGCATAATGCCTGAGATCCATCCATTTATCAGTAACTCTTTTTTTTCCCCCTACTGCTGGGTAGTATCCATTGTATGCTGTACCACTATTTCTTTTTATAAGTTTATTTGTTTATTTCTTCCTTCTATGAGCAAGAGCAATAGAGAAAGTACCCCCACCTGGGTCTTGGTGCCACGATCCACCTCCAGCTTCAGCCAGCCCTGGATCGTGGTCACACAAATGGCTGGTGTACTAAGGGAGGTCTCTGGACATGAACCCAGAACCGTCCTTCTATGTGGGTCAGCTCACAGATCATCGCATTGCGCCACTGCATCACCACCTGACTCTCTATAGCACGCGCCATTTAACTTATCTTTTGTGTTGAAAGACATTTGGGTTGTTCTAGTTGGGTCTGTTACTAAAAAAAAAAAAAAAAGTGCTATGAATTTCCATTTGATGTGTCTACATACTTTCTCTTGTATATAAACCTAGGAATGGGATTGCTGAAACATAAGGTGCAAGTATTAACTTTAGCAGATCCTGCTAGTTTCCAAAGCAATTGTACCATTTTACACTTCTGCCAGTAAGGAGTGAGCGTTCCAGTTGCTCCACAGCCTCACTAACACTTGCTATTGTTATGTTTTTTCTTTCAAGCCATTTTGGGATGTGTGTAATCATACTTTGAAATTTACACAGAAAATGGTTTTTTGGTTTGTTTTTGCCAGAGGTATGTGTTTTTTGCCAGAGGGAGATGAGGAGAGAGAGTATAAGAAAGTACCTCTAATGGAGAGTGATGATGTCCCAATCCTTCTCTTGCATTTCTTCATCCTGTTGGAATTCTGGACATACACACATGCCTAGTGTATTTTTCAAGCTGCCAGGGTTGAACTTGAACTACTTGGCTGACTAAGGATCTGGCTTCCTTCACCACTGGGTTAGGAGGCTGGCATTTAATTTTTTTAATTATATAAATATTTAAATTTTTTTTGTTGTTGTTGTTGCTATAGAACACATGTGCTCACCAGAGAGAGACAGAGAGAGAGAAAGTGAGAAATCACCCTTCAGGGGGGCTGGCCACACTGCAATCCCTTCTTCATTCCCCTCTTGGGATTTTAGGCGCACACACACATATGCATGTGCCTAATGTGATTTTCAAGCTGCCATATCCAGGACTTGAACCGCACAGTCAGCAATATGGGGTCCAGTTGCCTTAACCTCCATGTTACCTGATGACTCCATAAATATTTAAATGCTAGCCCTCAGAAAATGACACCAAAGCCAGTGGAACAGGATATATCAGGGCCCTTGCCCTCAGCCAGCAGGGTGGGCTGGGACTGCTCCACGATTCTGTTAATTTGAGGGTTTTTCATACCATTTGCTAGTGACGGCTCTGGGCACCTGCTGTCTCTGGTCTGCTGTTGTGTTCCTCTTCAGCAATATTATTTTTTTTATTTATGTTTAAATAATGACTTACTTAATTTTTATTAATTATTATTATTATTATTATTATTTTGACTTACTATAGGGCATGTGTGCTCACCAGAGAGAGACAGTGTGGATGGGGGGGCAGAGTGAGAAAGTAAGTCACCAGATGTGGGACATGAACCGCTGTCAGCCATGTGGGAGTGCAGTGCCTTAGTCTCCACCCCACCTGCTGCCCCTGAGCAATATTCTTTTATTTTTTGGAGAGGTTTTTGCTACAGGGCGCGTGCTCTCTCCAGAAAGACAGAGAGAGACAGAGAGAGAGAAAATGAGAAATCACCCCCCAGGGCGGATGGCCACACCGCAATCCCTTCTCCTCCATGCTCCTCTCGGGATCTTGGGCACGCACGCACACATGTGAGTTTAAGCCACCAGGTCTGGGACTCAAACCGAATCTTGTTGCTCTTTTTCTCACCAACCGTGAATGCCATTATCTGGGTCAGTAGTGTGAGCTAGCCCCCCTGCTCTCCTGCTTTCATGACAAGGGAAGAAGAAAACACAAGTGGAGGGCTTCTGCTTTCCCTCTGCCATCCACTAGCTGGTCCTCTGGCCCCCGAGGAAGTTTCTTTATGAAAAGGAAAATAAAGGAGTATGTGCAAGAATTGCACACGCCTGACTTTGCATACACACATGCACGTGCACCACCCCTCCCCGCAAGCCCCCGTGAATAAGTGTAAAAATGGACAAAATGAGACGTGAGGTCTCTGGTCTGTTTATCAGTTTTGTCCCAATATCCAATTCTGGAGTTTGCTCTTTTTCTCCAGTTGTATAAGGTTACCTTTGAGGGAAGTTAGTGAAGGTGATGTATTATTTTTGTAACTATTATAAGTCTGTAATTCTTTTTTTTTTTTTTTTTTTAAGTCTGCTATAGGGCGCGTGTGTTTGCCAGAGAGAAAAAGAGGGCAAGTGAGAAATCACCCCTGGGGAGGTGGCTGCCCCAGTCTGTTCTCCTGCATTCTCCTCTCAGGATCTAGAGCATGCACACACACGTGCCTGGTTTATTTTTTGGGCTACTGGGTCTGGGACTCAAACCACGTGGGATCCAACCACCTCAACTACCATGTCACTGACTGGCCCCAAGTTTATAATTTATGTCAAAATAAAATTAAAAAAAAAAAAACAGAAAAGAAAGATAGCTCTTTTGTAATCTTTTGAGAGGTTTTTGCTATAGGGCGCGTGTGCTCACCAGACAGACAGAGAGACATAGAGACAGAAAGCGAGAAATCACCCCCCAGGGCGGATGGCCACACCGCAATCCCTTCTCCTCCATTCTCTTTTTGGGATCTTGGGCACGCACACACATGCGCCCGGCGTGAGTTTAAACCACTGGGTCCAGGACTCGAACCATGGTCGACTACATGGGAATCTAGCGACATAGCCATTACGCTAACTGCTGGTTCCCAGCTCTTTTGTAATCTTTTATTAAAAAAAAAAAAAAAATTAAGGTTTTTGCCAGAGACCTGTGGCGCTTGCCAGAGAGACAGTGAGACAGAAGTTGAAAAATCACCCTCCAGGGGAGATGGCCTTGCTGCAGTCCCTTCTCCTTCGTCTTCCTCTGTGGATTTTGGGCACGCACACACATGTGCCCAGCATGATTTTCAAGCCACCAGGAGTCCCCGTGCCGCCTGGCTGGCCCTGTACACGTCTTACTGTCCTTGACTTGACCCTTCCTTGCCTTTCCTGCATCCCATGGTTCTTTTTTTCCCAACAGTCCAGGAAAATAGATTTTCTTAGTCATTATTTAAAATGGGTGTCATTATTCACGATGAGTGCTAGTCACACGCACCTCCTAACCTTGGGAAACAGTAATGGAAGCTCAGACGGCCCCGTAAACGCCAGGCACGGCCCATCTCGCTGTCCTCTCCGCCTCACGCTGTCCTGCTACTCAAAGGGCCTTGGCTGTGTCTTAGCCGCGGGACATGTCGGGCTGCGCGGATGCTTTGAGGGCTTGCTGCATCCCTCACTGTCTTCCCCTCTCTCCTCTCTGACCTCTCGCAGCTCAAGAGGGCCAGTAGCGAGGACATGCTCAACAAACCAGGATGCACTGCCACCGCGGGGGTGGTTCGAATGAAAAAGACCGCAACGGCTGGAGCCATCTCCGAGCTTGCCGAGAGCCGCCTGAGAAGCAATACAGGTAGGGGGCCCAGGTAGGAGGGATCCAGGTAGTGGAGACCCAGGCAGGTGGGGTCCAGGTAGTGGAGACCCAGGTAGGTGGGGTCCAGGTAGGGGGCCCAGGTAGGAGGGGTCCAGGTAGTGGAGACCCAGGTAGGTGGGGTCCAGGGAGTGGAGAGCCAGGGGTGTCCAGGGAGTGGAGACCCAGGTAGGTGGGGTTCAGGTAGTGGAGACCCAGGTAGGTGGGGTCCAGGTAGGGGGACCCAGGTAGGTGGGGTCCAGGTAGTAGAGACCCAGGTAGATGAGGTCCAGGTAGGGGGACCCAGGTAGGTGGGGTCCAGGTAGTAGAGACCCAGGTAGGTGGGGTCCAGGTAGTGGAGACCCAGGTAGGTGGGGTCCAGGAGAGGGAGACCCAGGTAGGTGGGGTCCAGGTAGTGGAGACCCAGGTAGGTGGGGTCCAGGTAGTAGAGAGAGACCCAGGTAGGTGGGGTCCAGGTAGTGGAGACCCAGGTAGGTGGGGTCCAGGTAGTAGAGAGAGACCCAGGTAGGTGGGGTCCAGGTAGTGGAGAACCAGGTAGGTGAGGTCCAGGTAGTGGAGACCCAGGTAGGTGGGGTCCAGGGAGTAGAGACCCAGGTCGGTGAGGTCCAGGTACGGGGACCCAGGTAGGTGGGGTCCAGGGAGTGTAGACCCAGGTAGGTGAGGTCCAGGTACGGGGACCCTGGTAGGTGGGGTCCAGGTAGTAGAGAGAGACCCAGGTAGGTGGGATCCGGGTAGAGAAACACAGGTAGGAGTGACCCAGGAAGGAAAGACCCAGGTAGAGTGGATGCAGGTAAGAAAAATCTAGGCAGGAAGGACCCAGGTAGGGGGACCCAGATAGGGAACCAGGGAGGAGGAAGCTGGGCAGGCCACTCGCCTTGACCCTGTGAAAGCACCTCAATGCTTTGCTCCTTCTCCTTCATCAGGTATTTATTGAGCCCTCACCCTGTGTGTGCGCGTGCGTGCGTGCGTGCATGTGTTTCAGGCAGGCCGCTCCCTGCCCTCAGGAGCTTACACCCAGTCAGGAGACAGAGAGCACAAGGTCGTGAGGAGTGCTGTGGCATCCTCCAGCCATCCATGTCCCCATGCAGGTCTGAAATCCTCCTGGGGTTCACGCACGTGGTGTGTGTCCAGAGGTCATCTGGGTACAAATGTGTGGGGCGACTGAGTGAACCTTATGGAACCCCTGGCAGAGGTGGGTGTAACTCAGCCGCCCCGACTCCTGCGGAAAACTAGGAAGCTCCTCATGCACCTTCAGCAGCCATGCCGTGAAGGCCTTCAGAGCTGCTTAGGTGGGAGGGGCCTGGGCCTGTGCACTCTCAGTGTTACTGGTCTTTTGAGAATCAGAAAATGGTTTTTTAACTACAACATTTGAATTCAGAATATGGAGACATAAAATATTTAAAAATCTGTGTAATTCTCTTCTTGAGAATAAGTTTTCCATGATCTAACTCAAAATGCAGTTCTCAGGTATGACTAAGCTGCCTAAGATGGGAAAAGAACTGAAATATATCTTTATTAATTTACAGTAAGTGTCACAGGTACTGTGTTGAAGGGTACTATACTTAAGATGTTTGCGCTCTCTTCATGAAAAACACGTTGGGCATGTGTGCATACGTAGCCCAGATCCTGACAGGATGGGGAAGTGGAGAAGGGATTATGGCATGGCCACACTTTGAGGTTTTTTATTTTTTTTTTTTGGCAGGGGGGGGTTCCTTTCTTTCTCTCATTCTCTCTATCTCTTTCTGGCGAGTGCATGCACCCTCCGACAATTAAAAAAATAAAGTATTAGCAAAAAGTAGGACCAGCAGATGGCATAGTGGTTACATTAAGACTCCCACATGGCCAACAGTGGCTTGAGTCCTGAACCCGGTGGCTTGAAACTCACGCCAGGCACATGTGCGTGCACGCTTAAGATCCCGAGAGGAGAATGGAGGAGAAGGGATTGTGGTGTGGCTATCCCCCTGGGGATGGTTTCTCACTTTCCTTTTCACTGTTTCTGTCTATCTCTCTCCAGCAAGTGCACATACCCTACGGCAAACGCCTCTTTAAAAAAATAGCAAGTAGAACTCAACAAACTCAAAGGACTGTAGTATATTGGGTTGTCGGAAAAGTCATGACGGGCAGAAATGCATTATGACTTCTCTGACGACCCAATACATCACAACCAGAGGATTTGTGCCATCCGAGAGCAGATGAATATTAGGAAACTATAATCAATCGTACGATATTAAGACACCAAAGAGAAAACCTGTTTCATCATTTCGGTAGTCTTGGAACATATATTTGACACAATGAATAATCTTTAATTTAATAACAAACTCTTAGTAGATTATAAATGTATGGAGACTTCTCTGGAAATATGAAATGTAGATATCTTGGGGTCAACAGGTGGCACAGTAGTTAAGGTGTTGGACTCCCCTATGGCTGACTGCAGTTCGAGTCTCAGACTTGGCAGTTTGAAAATCCCGCCAGTCATGAGTGCATGCGTGCCCAAAATCCCAGGAGGGGAATGGAGGAGAAGGGACTGCAGTGTGGCCATCCACCTGGGGGGTGATTTCTCCCTTCTACCCTGCCCACCCCGTCTCTCTCTAATGAGCACATGTGTCCTGTAACAGCAACAACAACAAATCAGTGGGGACTGGAGAGTGGAAACACAGAATGGATGCTGGGGTGGATCTAAAACTGTAGTTCCCCATGCAGGCAGCTCTCCCTACCCACCACGCCGGGAGACAGCGGACCAAGTTGGAGACATTCTTGGTTGTCGTGAGTGAGGGAGCTACTGCCCTCTGGTGGGTAGAGGCCACGGTGCTGCTAAATATCCTATGATGTTGGGAGCAGCCCATGGCAAGGAAGGACCAGCCCAGATGTGCACAGCACTGCTGTAGAGGAACCAGGATCTGGAACGATACACACACTGGAATAGCAAGGGAGATGCTGAAAAACGGAAATCAAGGAGCTGGCCTTCAGGATCGTGGAGCGGGGGAACTGCTAGGCAGCTCAGCAGAAGCAGAGGCAGGCAGCGCACAGTGGAGGAGGTCGCACGGGGAAAGGCCGCGTTTCATAGCAAGATAAATAATACACTCAAAATAAAAATGACTGAGGAAGTCTTACTCCTCACATCCCGAGTGAATTCAAGATTTAAATATTTAAAAATGAAGCTAGGAAAGTGCAAAGAGAAAACACCAGAGAAGTAATGTGCAGTCTTGGCCTTGGAAGGGCTTTTCTGAGTCGGCACAAATACAGAAGCTGTAAAGGAAAAGACGAAGCTGTCGTTACACAAATGTAAGAAAACCACTTCACAAGAAGAGGAAACTAAATGTGATACCCGTAACTCAGGGCTTCCTTACAGAGTGTCTACAAACTGATAAGAAAACGAAAAATAATACAGTAGAAAAATGTGTAACTCAGGGCTGGCAGGTGGTGTGGTGGTTAAGTGCACTAGATTCCCACATGGCCCACCGCGGTTCAAGTCCTGGACCTGGCGACTTGCTTTCTCACTCTCTCTCTCTGGGCAAATGAAAATAAGTAAAGTAAAATAAAACAATTCTTTTTTTTTGGAGAGGTTTTGGCTATAGGGCATGTGCGCTCGCCAGACAGAGAGAGACAGAGAGACAGAAAGCGAGAAATCACCCCCCCCAAGGGGTGATGGCCACGCCGCAATCCCTTCTCTTCCATTCTCCTCTCGGGATCCTGGGCACGCACGCACACGCGCCTGGCGTGAGTTTAAGCCACCGGGTCCAGGACTCGAACCGCAGTCGACTACGTGGGAGTCCAGCAACATAGCCATTATGCTAACTGCTGGTCCCAATAAAACAATTCTTCAAAAAAAAAAAGTGTAATTCACATAAACAAAGAAATACAGAAAGCCAGCACAAAGATGCTAAAAGGTCACTTAGAGAAAGGAAAATGGAAATAGCAGTTGCTAACAGATTAGTAAAAGGAGAATGGTCGATCGTTTCTGGTGCTGTGACAGTGTGAGGACCTGCAAGTCCCAGGTGTAACTGATACACGGGGACCGTTTGGTGCTGTCTGTCTAGATTTTAAGTATGTATAACCATCGGCCCACACGCACTTCTACTGTTGAGCATTTAACATTGCTAATAAACTTGAAAAGGGATCCCAGTATAAGCTAGATGTTCAGTAGCATCATTATTTATTTTTAAATTTTGATTTCGATTATTTTTTTTGGGAGGGATTTTCGCTATAGGGCGTGTGCGCTCGCCAGACAGACAGAGAGAGAGACATAGAGACAGAAAGTGAGAAATCACCCCCCAGGGGGGATGGCCACGCCACAATCCCTTCTCCTTCATTCTCCTCTCGGGATCTTGGACACGCACGCACACGCGCCCGGCGTGAGTTCTAAGCCACCAGGTCTGGGATGCGAACCGCGGTTGACTACGTGGGAGTCCAGCAACATAGCCATTACGCTATCTGCTGGTTTCCTTGATTTTGATTTTTATAAAGCAAAAATTGCGGAGCATCTTTCTGACAGAGAATTTTACATTCTTTTATCTGTGAAATGTTTCTTGCCTTTGCCCCTCACACCCACCCTCTACCACCTACTTCCTTCCACCCAGCTGGGCTGTAAAGGTCAGCTGGTGGCGTGGTGGCTAAGGTGCTGCAGTCCGAGGTCTGGACCCGGCAGCTTGAAAAACCTGCCTGGTGCATGTGCATGCAGGTGTGCTCAAAATCCCGAGAGGAGAATGGAGAAGAAGGGGTTGCGGCGTGGCCATTCCCCATAGGGAATGATTTTTTACTTTCTCTCCGGAGCAAAATTACCACACACACAAAACCAAACATCAGTTTTGGGGCCAGCAGGCGGCATAGTAATTAAGGTGCTAGACCCCCATATGGTCCACCACAGTTTGAGTCCCAGACCCAGTGGCTTGAAACTCATGCCGGACGTGTATGCGTGGATGCCCAACATCTTGAGAGGAGATGGGATTGCGGTGTGGCCATGCCCATTGGGGGTGATCTCTCAC